GCATCTGAAACCGAAGACCTTCTTGGTCATCGATATCAGAAAGTTGCCGAAACTCATACGGCGTGGCCTTCGCCGGCGCTACCAGTTCTGGTTGGCACCTCCGCACTGTGAACACCAAAGAACTAGGAAGGGATGCCATGGCCTGAGTGAGAGAGAATTTTGGTGGTTATCACACTAGAATCTTGACAGGGTTGTAGTCGGGGGTTATGTATTATCGTAGTTCGTAGTTCTACTTGGAGAGTTTATTTATAATGCAACAGAGGGCTTTGGGAAATGTGAAAGCATGGCCTACACGTTCACCAAAAATTAAAAAAAAAACATGGCCTACACCTTTTTTTGTGCGACCCGACTTCTCTGCCCTCCCAGTTCGCATACACTCTCATCCCCTCCTATTTTGTGCAGTCACGGTTAAGCTACATCAAGATTTTATATTGATTTTTTTTTTAAGATAATAAGACAAAAAGAATAGTAATATAAAATGTTAACGTGGCTTAATCGTAATCGCACAAATAGGAGAGGATGGAAGTTTATGGGAACTGGGAGGGCAGCGAAGCCAGGTCCTTTTTGTGAGTGTAATATTTGGGGATTATAATTCTCTCCCCTTCTCTTTCTATCCTCTTCTATCCCCTTCTCTCACATTTTTTATTTTGTCTTTCTCTTTCTATAAAAAAAATTAATATAAGATGTTGACGTGGTTTAACCGTGACCGTTTAAATAGGAGGAGAGGAAAAAAAAGAGGGGAGAGAATCCTACTCCTAATTTGGGTGGGTGTGCGAAAGCATGGCCTACACCTTTTTTTGTGAGTGTATTATTTGAGGGACATGGATCCTCTTCTGATCCATTGGTTCTAATCCATCAAATCCAGTAATTCGGGCTATTGAAATTTAATCCAACGGCTGAAGTTATTATAACTTTTAAAGTGGGCTCCTGTTTGTAGCCGTTAAATCAAATTTCAATTGCTCGGATTACGGGATTTGGTGGATTAGGACCAATGGATCCAGAGGGGATCCATGTCCTTATTTGAGTGGGTGGGTGTGAAGTTGCATTGTTAACTGTATGGATGTTTTTCTTAGTTTTCAAAAAAAAAAAAAAAAGACTGCATTGTGAATTGCATGGGTGTTTTTTTTTATAGTTTTTTATTTGCATTAAGAAAAAGACTGTAATGTGTATTTCATGGCAGTGACAATCTAGAATTTTAACATAGGATGGTCCAAATATAAAAGAACAAAAAAAAGACGAAAATACCATTGAACAAATAAATGGTAAACTATTAAATTTTCATTCCTCATGTAGAGTAGTTGTTCTTTACATTACATAGATAATGAAAAGAACTATTGTTATACTTAGATTTCTCAAAAGTAAGAAGGAAATTAAGATCAAATCTCATCATTGAATTGAGAAGTAGCTACAAACAACAACAAAAAATATGCATGAAAAAGGATTTTTTTTATAAAAACAAAAAAAAAATTATGTACAGCAGCCATGGGTGCTGCACGTTGTGCAAAACAAGAGCAGGAAGAAGAAAGCCTTTTTTTTAAAATTGACTTGATTAAAACGACATCATTTTGAACCAAGTCATTAAAAATTTTGGAAACAAAAGTCACCATCTCTTTTTTTTTTTTTGGATCAAAAGTCAAAATCCTAACAAATTAACCATAAATCTGTATCAACTAACATTAAAATAAGTAAGAAATAACACTAAAACTTACAAAAATTCTAAAGTTAATGTTGATGGGCTTCGGCAGTTCGGCTAGCTTGGGTAGGAAGAGGAACGGAGCAGCAGACAATTAGGTGGGTAAAGTGAATTTGAATCTGACTATTCTAGAAAAGATGATGACTTTTGACCCCCCACAAAAAAAAAAAAACAAAACAAAACAAAAAAGGGTGACCAAGTGAATTTGAATCACGTGAAGGTGAGTTTTTAAATTTTTTTAATGATTTTATTCAAAACGACGTTGTTTTGATCAAGTCATAAAAAGTTAAAAAAAAGGGCTTTCTTCTTCCTCCTCCTGTTTGTTTTGCACAGCATGCAACAGTCATGCATGCTGTTCTTCTCCACTAAGGATGGGCAACAGTTATGACGGGCGAGTAACCGTGGTTATTTATCCATAACCATTTATTCGCATACCCACATAACCGTTTATAAATGGTTAACCATACCCATAACTGTGTACCCATTTAACCGTAACCGTTTAATACACGTTTACCCATTTATCATTTTTTAACCTGTTTATCCTTTCTTTTTTACCATTTATTCATTTTTCACCCGTCTACGTGTTTTTTTAACAACTTGAAAATTAAAAAAGAAATATTTGTCATAATTTTCTTTTTCCAACAATTAAACACCGTTATAGGTATATTCATCATACATTTCCTCATTTTAATTTTTTAAATCCTTATACCATTCTAATAATTGAAATAATAGTTTACAGACGATATTTTAACTGTTAACAATGAAGGTAATATAAAATTTGCTAAGTATTCTTGCATTACGAAAACTGTTAAAAAACAGTATTCTTGTGTTATTATAACAATTGGTGTACTAGCTTGGAAAATATCTCTTTAGGAATGTAAACATCCATTTCCTACTCAATTTCAAGGGAGTTTTGATCGGACTGACATGAACCTTTATAATGGACTTGGACTAAAAGAAATAGAAAAAAAGAAAGTGTTTGGACTGAAAACATGTGTCCGGCCTGTTCAAGGCCCAACTCACTGGATTTTAACTAATATCTTGATGGGTATTTCATTTTGTTGCAAATGAGTGTTTTTGCAAATGAACAATGTGCAACCCAAGTTTACAAAAGTGCTTTATGACGTGGCATAAGGAGTGTGTAAGCGACTGCTGCAAGTGGACTGAGAAGTAGTGCATTCATTCCCTCCCTTAGAGTCGGGGAGCATCAGGTTAGTCATAAGTCTGGACAATGAGAAGCACATGCCTTAGCTTATCGGTAAAATAAAGAAGTGTGCTTCTTCCCCTTTTGGCCACTAATGTGTGTGGTGCCCCTCTATTCACGTAATAGACTGGTGGCAAAGAAACCCTCTTTCACATTAAAGAAGGTAATTCAATCCATTTTTTACAGAAGACAATTGCTTGCTAATGGCAATTTAGTAGTTACAGAGGAATAAAAGCTCAAGTTGCAAGATGAAAACTCATCCTCTGGCAGCAATCAAATCAACAACCTTGATCAGAAAGGGAATGAACTAAGAGAAAAAGGCTTACATTGGGCGTGAGGGCTTAACCAACCAACTTCGACTGGGTTCCAACAGTTTTTAAATATTCATTTTAATATCTTTTCGTGTATTGAAAAGAGGCATATTTGTAGTCGTTAATCATGTACATACTGACTGATGAGTCAATATTATATTATATATTTTATCCTATTCTTAGTATAATTTGGTAATTATTTTGGTAGAATTTTGATATTTTGCTTTATATTTTAAATGTATGATATTCGACTTCCTCTGAGGTAAAATGTGACCAAATAGATGAATTTTTGAGTGATTCAAATTGGAGGACGTTCATGTGTCCCTTGGCTTACTCATATCAAAATTTGGGATTTTTCTACCAAGCGGTTATTTTTCTAGCGATTAAATAAACGAGCAATGTGCGTTGTTGGAAAATGACGTTTTTTTGGCTGAAACTGCATTTTTGGAGCCCAAGATAACTTCAGATGGGTTCATGGCCTTCTTGAAAAGTGTTCAGAATAGTTCAAGCTTTAAATCTAGCTATTTTGGGCCAGTTTTGGAGTTGATTTAGGTCCAAAACGTGGCTGTGAGGTATTTTGGGCGAATTTACCAAGTTAATTTAGGATGTATGTTTCCTATTTTATTTCAATTTATTAGGTTTCCTAGTTTTATTCTAAGATCTTTTACCAGGAGGATTTTAATTAGAGTAGTATAAATAAGCCTTTGTGGCATTCGTTTTCTCTTACGCAACATTGGAGAGAAGAATTTGGCTACAGCTTAGAGATTTTCATATGTTGATTTTAATTATGAATATGCGTAGCTAATTTTCTTTTGTTAGTGCGATACTTTGAGTCTTAGTATGAATATATAGTTTTTATTTAATTGCTTATGATATTATGCGTGCATGCTTTGAATTATTAATCACTGTGTTTTAAACTGTCTTTGTGTCTTAATGATTCGCGACCATTAGGATGTTTAGATAAGTAATTAGATGCAATTCGGTTGGAATGCCACCCGGGAATTGATTGTTGCTTCTTGTGATTGATAGTTGTAATTTCACCTATGGCGAATGTCACGTCGTAGGGGTTGCAAGGTTGTTCAAAGGTTTTTCACAAAGCGTAATGAGTCATGCATGTTTATATTTGATTTGAATGCCACAAACAAATTGCATGTTTGATATATGTTCTAGCTTGAATGCCACAAATAGAATATGCATAAGGAAAACCTAACCTTCAAAGTTGCATGGATAATTCATAAGTAATTAGTAAATATACATAGGATTTGTTAAGGAATGATGGAACCCTAGTGCTTTTCCAAATTTATTTCTCAAAACTTTTTCTCTTTGATTTGTTTTCTTCTTAATTGGTTAGTAGTTGTCTTTCCTACTTTATGTTTTTATTAAATTTCGTTTTTATTATTTTTAAATTCAAAATCAACCTTTTCCAATCTTTATTTTCATATAATTAACTAGGATTAGGGTTTCTCATAAATTGTTTTAAATAATCCCTTTAGAAAATGACTTTGTTTGAGCCGTTTATACTACAACAACATTGTTCTCTTACAAGTATTTTTAATGTTTTTATCCCTACTTTTATAGGTGGTAAAATCCTTATCAAGAAATTTTATCACTGACCATTCCACGAAATGAAGATTTTTCTCTACAAACATTAATTGTGCATATTGCATATTTCCTCTTCATACATAACACATGTGGTGTAGATGCATCATACACATGTATGTACATACATTAATTAAGAAAAAATACTGGTAAAGACAAATTTTATACTCGAACAATAACCACACTATTCTCATTTTAAAAAGTACGAGATAATTATTTAAAAGTGCTAATAGCAATTATCTCTTATTATGTTTTCTTTCAACATTTGCACAGAAACGAATATTTCCTACATATTTCTCATTTGGTAGCTGAAAATCAAAACGTAAAAAGAACTGGAATGATTAATTGAAAGCTTTACATGGGGCATATAACATCGCTTATTATTTAACCTCATCTTAAGTTGTACAAAGACCACCACTGGAAGCTAAGTCCCTACTTCTCATTTCTCAAAACAGGCATGTCAACTACCTATCGCTTCTGTTCTCCCCACGTCTTACTCTCAAAAAATTCATTCAGCATTGATTCAATATTCTCCGGACGTAGCTTTATATACTTCCCCGGGTTTTTTCCGTTCTCGACCATAGGCCTGCAACACGATGCGCGTCAACGTTGATGCCAGAAATGCAGAAATTATGGATCTTTTTCAAAGGAAATGTTCAAAAATAGGAGAAAACTTACCCGAAACGTTTGATGAATGATCTGTAAGCAGGCAAGAGGATTTCAGCAACAGCTAGCCTTAAAGACTCTCGCAATTCGCTGTCAGGAACTGTCCACTGAGATTGCCTTTGATGAAGCTCCTCAAACTGCGTGTTGAAGGTCTTGAACCGATCTTTCACCATTGCTCTTGAAAGTGAACTGCTATCACCACCTGATGGATTTCCACCCTGAACGGTAAGACACTGCAGAATCTGCATCACAAAAATCAAATAAAGACACCAGAGCATGTGAGAACGATTTTCAAATAACAGGTATTCGAGCATTGTAACTTTTAGAGTAAAATTTTGACAATAGTTGAGCCCATTTACTACTGTTATAGCGGATAAAGATGTTGCCATACTTCAACACCTTCTAATGGTTTATTCGAAACATATGAATACCATAATCATCTATAATGTATTAAGAATACACAGATTAAAAAATAGTCAAGACCAGGAGGCCAGGGGAGTGGATCAAGGCCACATGATCAAGTGTCCCACGGAAAATATCGAAATGAATGGATATACTGTGAAATTTTCGAATAAAGGGTAAATTCAGGCTATTGATAAAAGGAAAACATGACCAACACAAACAAATCCCTTATACTCAATATCTAACAAGAATTCAAAACCAAGGAACAAGGCAGCATCAAAAGAAAACAGAAAGAATATGGTGGAGGACTAGTACAAGCAAAGAATCAAAACCTTTGCCCAAGAAACCCTCTTATACTGATTTGCATGCTGCTGCACGATCCTTCGGTGTATCTGCACCCAGTCATCCCCCAACAAATCCTTTGCTTCTGACCTGTATATAATTACTTATCAGTTAATACAGTAGTAGCATGCAGATAGGATCAGTATCTTTTAAAGAGCAGAATAACTATAGAACAAACCTCCGCACGGATCTCACTATATAGTGAATGTTGTTCATGAGAAATAACTGAGTGAGTGCAGGATCTTTATACTGCTTAGATTTTCCATCCAGGTTGTTCTGAAGAGCCTGCATAATCCTTGTAGTAACCTTTGATAACTGAGACTCTGGCTCACCTTCATCAAACTCTTGAAAAAGTTGCTTCAGTGTAGACTGATAACTGTGAACATTTTAAACAGTCATGCGGTGATGTTTGCACAGTTACTGTGAAAAAGTACCAGAAAACTAGAAAGAGAACCGAACTTGGGATTGGGAGAAAAGGAAGATACAAAAAAGGCAAATGGCGTAGCTGATAGATATTTTAATTGATGTGGAAATTATTGCAATGATCTTGATAAATTAAGGGCATTCACATATAAGCCCTAGATAACATCACACTTTAGACAACACACACACTTCAAACTCAACACTTTAGAGAAAAACCCAACTTAGTTTGTAATACCAAAATAACTTCGCAACTAAAAATCAATTACGCATGACAAGGGGATGGATGAAGGGCTTTTGTCTCCAATTGAGCTCTTAAAAAGTGTTTTTCTCTAAAACTTATAGTTGTATGGGCGTTTTTTCCAGTTTACTAATAAATTAAACATTACCATCATAACCAGCCAACGTGGAGACAAACAATCCAAGTAACTAACAATTCAACAAAGCAGAGAATTTACCAAAAGCAAGGTCAAACAAATTATACAGAGCAGATCGCCTTCAAAGACATTAGCAATCATGAATGCTTCAAAGTTACTATATTTGCAATCTCCTCAGAGAAGGAACAAAATAGCAAGAATTAGAAAGCACAGGAATAACTACTTACTCGAAGAGAAACTTTACATAGTTTATCACGTAGCTTGTCAAAGGATGGACGGTTCCATCAAGAACAGCAGTTTTCGTGGCATCCTTTTCAACAGCTTCTTCAAAATCACCAAAAGTTTCCTGGGCTGTTTGAGCTAGACGCTTTGTCAAACTTAATGCAGATTCCCGCATTTCCATGCAAGCTTTACTTCCAAAAAGTAACTCAATCTGAAAAATAAGATCTAAGAATTATATTTTAAGCCATTGATCGTTTCCTTAGAAGTATTAAACCAACATTTGATGTAACATATATAGATAAAGACGAGAACGAAACTAATATTTTGACCTTCTACTTTCGTTAAGAGTTATAGTTTCCTTGCAATATAAATTTCTGTAAGAACTCAGCTTGACATTATTACACTTACCCCCATGTTAATACTTTTCAACCTTTTGGCCTTCAATATACTCCAGCGATCATCTTATATAAGTAAACATATGATTTTGTGAATTCAAATGCTGTTTATTGATGAGTTCTAAGGTGTTGTCAGGCCTCATTCAAACTTACACAAGCTCTGCCATGATTTAAGAAACCAATACTAAGGTCTTAACAAGGATTTATATCAGCAACATAGCATCATTTTCATCATTTTCACATTCACATCGAAGCCAGCACTACAGTGAAGAGTGAGAAACTGCATGTTCTATCCCAAATTAGCAGCAATGGATGGACTTCAGAAACATCTTATGCATGTTGGTAAAGTGCTTTAACCAAAACGATCTTGTACATAAACTAATGACTGAGTGTGTGAGTATGTGTTTGTTATCCATCCAAAAAATTAATTGCCATGTCCATATCTAACAGGATTTAAGTTTCTGCCATGAATCCCTACACAATATGTAGCAAGAAACCCTCAAACTGTTTAATCAATCAAGCGACTAACAATTTCAGAAATTTGTAATCATGGTCTAATTTTTATGCAATTACTAAAATTTCATTACCTCTGACTGAAGGTCCCTCATTATCTCATACATGTCTAAAAGAACAAATAACTTTTCAGGTGACCTCTTGCTTCTGGCAATAGCCTCCCCAAAACTGAGGAGCATAGCCACACTGTTTGCAGTAACTTCAGCAAAACATGGATCCTTAAGTGTCTCAGCACCTTCAAATATTTGATCACAGATTTTCTTTTCCCCGGAAAACAGCAGCTTCACCTGTTTTGAACAGTACAGCGGTACTGAAATAAATAAGGATAACAGCCGTAGATAAAAAGCAACAGCAACCAACAAACAAGCCATTTACAACCAATTGAGCTAAAACTCATGAATCCTTACAGCAATTCGCATGTAATGTATCCAATTCCCAATCTTAGCCTCTAAAACCTCCCACTGCATTTTCTGGACATCATCTTTAGTAAGTCTCTCCACGCCTAGTTTTCTCAAGCTCTGCTCCAAAACAGAAGCACGAGTGTCCCTATAAGAACATCTTTGTCAGTCTATGAATAATATGTAAAACGAAGATCAGAAAGATTCGAATTGATTCACTTACTCAACCAAGCCTTAAGTTCAAATAAGTGGGGTTGGCTACTGGAATCCTTTCTCTCCAGTTTTCCCTATCTATAGTCATATCCTTCGTTCCCTCTTTGGTATCTTATGTAGAAAGGAAAATGACCAAACAAAAATATATCTCAAACCTATTTAGAGAATAAATGTAAAAAGTGCAAAATCTCCACCATCATTTTTTTCTTTTTCTAGTATTCTTTTCTCAAAGAAAAATGATTTAAATCATAATATCTGAAAACCAATAATCTGTATGCTGCTAGGAAGTACAATGGACTATTTCCATCTCATCAAGGTCAAAGCATGACCAGGCAAATGAATTCATGGCTTAGATGTAATTTAGGCCTGCATTATTTGGAAATTATAAGTACATCATTTTGTTACCTATTCATTTTAATTCGTAAAAAATAACTCAACATCGGTCAGGAATTTGGTCAGCATCAAGCGGTCAGAAACCAATCTATAAAAATGCAACTATTTTGTAACTCTTTTAGATGAAAAGGGAGAAAAGGTGAGAGCAAGAGGAGCATTATGAAGAAACCTTTTGAGTATATTCCTCTTCCTAATGAATACACCTATTATTTAAAGATCTACTTTAACTAAGAACAGAAATGATCACACATGACTGACAATGCAAGCAATGGTGCAACATAACATTAAACCACGCAAAGGAAATAAAGAATTCACCTGTAGGTCCTAAATAGCTGTTGTTGATGGCCAGCTAGAACCATTTGTTGGGCTAAATCATGCAGTAATGGCAGAACCCTTGGGGGAATAAGCGTTAGTGGTGTGTAAATGACAGGTTTTAAACTTTTGTTTGGGTGTTCAGAACCCTTTCCACCAGCATCATTTTTCTGTCCAGCTGGATCTGGTCGTAGAGAGTCAGGGAGACAATCAAATAGACGATCAGGCTCCACAGGCTTGCTGAAATACGAAAGAAAAAAACTTACTTGAGGGGCTATGACCTAGAGTTCATCAATTGTCAGTCCTGATATTGTATTGTAGGATTGGCATGGTACAACAGGAAATATGGCATAACAAGAGAAACAGGAAACGACAAAAAAAAAGAAACATTGAGGTTTATTAACTAAAAGGTTGAATTTAACCAAACCAAATCTGTAACACTTGAACTCTAGGACAAGTAAAACGTCAAGATTTATCAACAAAAATAGAGCACCAAGAATCTTACATAATCATAGTTCTTATCATGTCTGTTGGCTTGACAAAGCTGTAGTAAAGTTAAAATCTTCTTAGTGATTTCAACTTCCTAACTACCATCATCATTTTTTCTTAATTACTTTCTATTTTTTCATGTATTTGAGACAATGTTTCTGTACAAAATTCAAACTTCCAGATCAAAAATTACAGAGTGTCTTCCTCAACCGAGATGGAAAAAGAAAAATAAAAGAACAAAAATATAAAAGGCTTAATTAAATAAAGTGGAAATAGTAAACAAAAGTTCAATGCTTGCATGTCATGTTTAAAAGTTGACTGATAATAAGTTGAAAGCAGGAAATGGTAACTGAAATTCCAAAAAGATGTTTTCTTGTAATTAAAGTGAACCTGTAATTTGTGAGGAGCTGTCTAAACTCATCTTCGAGCTTCGAGATGGCTTTCGAAAGCAAGTTATTGGCATGGTGAAGCACCCCATCACTGCTCTTAACATTTTTATGGCTACTAAAGAAATGAATGATGCTTCTCAGCTGATCAATTGCTTCCAAATAGCTTTCCAAATCCTCATGTGGCCCTCTCAGTATTTTAGCCTCTGCCTAAACCAACACCGCCACATTTTCCAATCAAATTATCCGCAGACGTCAACAAACAAGAACAAATTACAAAGTACATTGCATCAACAAATCGAAAAAGAGCTAATTAACCTTTCGTGTGAGGTCGAATTGCCCCAATATAACCTCTACAGCCTTCAATGTCTTATCAATGTTCTCATGCGCCCTCCGAATCGAATGAGTCCTAATCTACCATCCACAATTTTCACCAATTCGCAAAGAAACCCAAATCAAAATCCTGAATTTATGTCAATTAAATCTAAACATCTCATCAGCTCCATCTACATATACTTACATTATATGGAAAACAAAAATATCAAACCAAAAGAGACATAAATTACACCAGACGAACGAAAGGCAGCGTTTGTAAACAAGTACATTTCCGAACCACGATGAAGAAGGTGACATTTTCCTCAGGTTTCTCGGGAAACAAGCGGAGAAATAAACAGAGAGAGAGAAAGCGAGGTGACTGACCTGAGTGGGACGCATGGCGGTTTCGAGGGCGGAGAGGCGGTGGTCGAAGGAGCCGAGAATGGCGACCATGTTGTCGGTGATGGTCTGGCTCTTGTGCAGCGCGTCTCTTATAGACGAAGCTCTCGCTTCGAGGGCCTCCATTGCCTGCGGAACCCCCATCTTTCCAAATTTTCTCGCCGGATTTTCCCTCACTTTCTCAGTGACTGTTTGGCAAGCGAGAAAATGCGAAAAGTGCGATTAAATTTCAGAGCACGGGTTTGTTGTGACGGAGACATCCGATGAGAAAGACGTTGCGTAATAAGTTGTTCATTTTCTTTTCGTCCGTCGTCGAAATGCGGAGGGAAACGAACGAACGCGGTTATATGAGAACGAAACAGGATCGTCGTGTCAGTGGAGGGCTCTATATATGTGGGACCCAATTCGTTCGGCCGTGGCTTTCTGGATAATAGGAAAGGATCCCCTCCATCGAATCTATCAATCTGGATCCTTGAAATTTAATCCAACGGTTAAATTTATTATAACTTTAAAGGAACCCATATTTTTAGTCATTGATTTAAATTTTAAAAGCCCAGAATGGTGGATTTGGTAAATTTGATGGAAGAGATCCGAAGAGGATTCATTTCCTTTCTAATAAATTGTGCGGGTACTTTGGCAGCTAGTTTAGTAGTATATATCTTTACTTGTAGGTGTGAAAAGATATGTTTGAATTTCGTTGGTACCAAATTAATATGACAAAATCTTTGTGTGGTTTATCCTAATCTCTTCACGACTTAGTGTAAATACTTGTTGTATTAAAACAAAGGGGTGTGATATCCACACACCCCTTTTTACTTCTCTCATATATTTTTAATTTTCAACCGTCGGATCAGAATAACTAAAGAAAATCAAATGACAGAAATTAACAAGGGATGTAGGAGAAATAAAAAAATGTGTGGATAGCACACCCCTAAAACAAATAGTGTGGCTTTCTTTTCTTTTAATAAATATATTTGTGTACCAACCAGCTATATGTTTTGAATTCTCACAACTTAGATGCACATGTTGATGTTGGATGGTGCTGAAGTGGTGATTGGCATAAATTTGGCGTTTTTGTTGAAGAATGTAAAGTCCAACAACGAAAACTTGTTACAGTTCATTTTGCATAATTTCACCACTAATTGTATGGAGACATTTCTGTATAAAACTCCAATACTCTGAGCATCTTCAGCTGGCTCGTAGCTGAAATTTTAAGAGGATTTAAAAATAAAAAAAACCTTAACGAAAAGTCTAAAAAAAATTTTAGTTTTAATAAAAAATAACAAATAAAGGTGCAGTGAATAGTACCAAAGAAAGATAAAAATGTAATTTTTTATTAAAAATAAACAGTACCGAAAATATTTTGTTAAAACTTCCTATTAAATTTATTTTCGATCACACTCCCCATTTCACGCCTAGGATAACAAATCCTCTGGTAACGGATAACATCGATATGATATGATTTAGCAACTTTCGATACCAAGTGAATAAAGTCAATAGACCAACAAAAAGCCTTAGCATCGTGCTTTCAAAAGTCACTTTTTCTAGCCTCTCACATGGGTTGGGTTTATTGATGCCACTTATCAATTTTAAGAATAAAAGGGTTGTATTAGGGAAAATCGAACTCTTAACCTTTCTTGTTGAGTTACTCTTAACCCATTACAGAACACACAATTTACGATTAGAATAAATTTTTGTGCACAATCTTATGTGTGCTCCTACCTATGCATGTGTTTGGGTGTTGAGCGATTAAATCTTCTGAACTCATTTTATATGTCCATTTTTGTGAGCTTTATCATTGATTAATATTATGTGAGGTCTATCATTGATTAACATATGTTAAGTTATGTCGCAAAGTCAAAGAAAAGTAACTAAGTTTTTATTTAGGTTTTTTATATTAGTACCTCACAAAATGTTGAATGCACCCCATATTAAAATTTAATATTAAATAACTTATTTATTCTATTATGCAATGGCAATTTTGACCTTATTAGGTTAAAAAACATTAAAAAGTTCTATATACACCCCAAATCATTTTTAACGTATTATTTATCTTCTTCAACTATCAAAACCCCTCCAACCCTCCATTGTTGAACAAAATCCTAACCAATAAAACTACAAATATGTTGATTGAGAAAAATTATTTTTGACGAATGAAACACAAAATCGATATTTCGAAAGCTTCACATGAGGTAAAGCTTCATATTATTTATTGTTTTAGTGACTTTAACGATATCGATAATTATTTAATCTTGCTTTTGATGCATTATTCAAGCTTCTATGTTCGTATTCATATTTTAGGGATCACAGAGATTACATGAAGAATTAAACATCTAAAATTACCATCAAATATTAAAAACAAACAACATGGGTTTTAATGATGGAATTGAAAACAACCCACATATGCTTTAAATCTCAGGCGGCATCTTTTGTCAAAATTTTAGTCAGCGTTATTTGTCCAAATTAAAAGCTTTACAAGATTTGAGAAACGTTGGTGTCTAGAAAATATGGGGTGCATATAGAAAATGTAAGGTGTATATTAAGAATATGGGGTATGAAGGTATTATGGGGAAGTATGTGGGGTGTATTAAGATAATTTTTAATTGAAAAAATAAATGTGAGGTGTATTAAATTTGTGGGATTTATTGAACAATTTGTGGGGAGTTAATATAATAAGCCTTTATTTATTCAGCAAAATCAAACCTTACAAAGTGAAGGGAAAAAAAAACACACAAGTTATTGGTATCTTACATTTCTTCTGCACAAAACTCAAGTTAATTAAACTTCCATTCTTCTTCGATGAACAAGACAAAATACCACAGTTAGAGAAAGGTCACAAAAGCTCAATAAGTCCAGTCTCGAGGCAAACCAGCATTGGAACAAACGCTTTTGATGGCTTTAATCTCCTCCCTATTTCTTAAACCTACAACAAAACATATAATCAATAACTGAATCATGATATTTGGATGAAGAGAAATGCTAAGGGGGCCTCTAAAAAGTAGAACACTTTATGAACTTTCTTTAACGTCAGTTTTTACGTTAGCAATATAAAATATTGAGCTAAAAACATGAGATGACAGAGAATTCATGAAGACTCGGACTTTTGAGAGAATCCCTTAGCATTTCTCTTGAAAGGATAAAATTCTTGTTTGCAAACATGACAACGTGCATGCTACCATTAACTGCCTTGAATGTATAGACGACTGATAGTCGTATTCTATGGTAAGTGATTTTCACACCGTCTCTTTTTAAACATGTTTCTTCTTCCTTCTTATTATTTTAATTTTCTTTGATTTATTCAATATATTTAACGTCAATCTTTCTCAACTAAAAACAAATTGCTAAAAAACTTAATTGAAAACACGTAGCTCAAAGAAGGCATATGTCTTCTTCTTACAATTTGTGTAAAATGCACGCACTGTTTCATATATCGACACAAAACACTTTGCAGACAGCAATGAAGTAACATATTTAGACGAGATACCAGAAGTTAAACAAAAGTTACACGAAACAGAAACTAACAAATGGATCAACACACAAACAAATATCATGTCTTCAAACACAGAAAAGATGCAGGCCAGAACATGAAACGGGAACGCTAAGATGGTTGTGCACAAACCTATGAGACATTGTAAAGTGTTTTAATTTTTTAACATAACATTGCGTACTTGGTTTAATACCACTAATCACTAGACGCCCCGTTTCATCTAACATATAAAACAAAACAAAACCATACTTTGCCTAGGACAAAAAAAGACTTGGAAGGAATTAATTACTGACCCTGCTTCCCTTTGACCTCCGGATTACTGGCGGTGGCGGTGGCGGTGGTTGTGGAATGCAAAACCCTGGGATGAAACACGCCTGTGCCTCCACAAACCCTCCCAAAACGACCCATTGATCCATTCCCTCTACCCTGGAATGGCAAAACACGGTTTTGCTGTCTCTTCTGAATCCCATTTCTGGTTTCCAAAAAGCTACCAACCTGCCCAAATATTACAAGTATATTTACACTAATGTGGAAATAAATTTAGAGAACTTTAATGAAATGTTCTCGGTACTGTTTATTTTACTGAAAAATCATATTTTTACAATAAAAAGTCAATCCTTGTACTATTCACTTTACCTTTTATTTTGTCTTCATCGTTAAAACTCAAAGTTTTCAAATCATTTTCATTAGTTTTCCTATAAATTTAATTGCAATCTCACCATTTTCGATGTTCAAACTTAGAGATCGCTCTAAATCGTAGTATTAAATAACAATACTTTTATTTATTAAAGTAAGCAAAACATTTGAATACAGACTTAAGGGCAAAAAAATCCGGTTCAGTTTTATGGTCCTGTATTTACCTGAAGTTGAGCCGGGTTCATAAACTGATAGTGGTAATGGAGGTGTTGAGTCCCGTACCCATGAAAAATAGGACCTTTTTGTACAAAACCATGGCTGTCGCCGAGATTAAAGTACCTCTGGGTCAAATAATCAAGCTGGGTGGACCGGACCGCCGGTCTGACCCGGTGCAAACTCTGTAAAAATACAAAACACCCCATGTTAGACATTCATGCAAAGCAAAGGGTGTAATGGAAATCAAGCTGTGTGTGTGAGTCAGGAGAGAGAGAGACCTGAAGATTTGAAAGGCTTGGACTTTGGTATTGTTTGAGGAGAGAGAGAGAAGCCAACTGCCGAGCGAGGTTGTCCGTGGTATTAGAGAAATGGTGACGGCTAAGTGTGGAGGTTGAAGAAGCTGCTTCGTTGAAAAAAATATCAGATGGAAGCCACAGTTCACCGTCGTCGGGATTTGGTGGAAACCCAGCCATTTTTAGCATAAACCCAGCAAACTTCACACACCCAACAAACAAAAAATGAAAATTTCTCCTTGCAAATATGCAAACACTGAAGAAAAAATCCAACAAAAACAGAGAGAAAAAAACATAGAAATATCAAGAGGGTGGATTTTAAAGGTCTAAAAGCGGCACTGCGATATGGACAAAAGTTAATTTTAAAACGACGTTACATCTCTCTCTCTCTCTCTCTCTCTAAAGAAGAAAGAAAATGGGTCTGTGTGTTACGGCCTGTTTGGTTCCCAAGAAAAACGAGTTTTTGGAAACTAATTAATGAGGCACTGAGCAATTTTCAGTTCCAACTTCCAAGGCTTCAATGGAACTAAGAAAATTTTGAAAACACCCCAGCCCAGAATTTATTTACAATGTCGTGAAAACACGCGAGTTTCGAAAATTTCCTTACAAAATTAATTTAAAACCTTACATAGGAAATTAAAGTGGTACCAAACAAGCCCTAGTTGTATCACTTTGAAAATGAATGACATGGAACGGGTTTACCATCACTATTCACCATTACCATCGCGTCCCAATCATTGATATTCTGTAGTATTTTCTTACGTATTAATACATTATTAGACCGAAACGCAACGGTTGCAATAACTTGTTGTATTTAAGTTATTCTCCTCTGTTTTAGGTATTAGGCCCTCACGACCACTCTCTGAACGCCAACATCACATGATTAGGTAAAAGCAGAAATTGCTGATGGATTTGCAACTGTAGAAATCCAACATCTGTCTTATGGACACGTGGCGGTTAAATGAGGATCAGGGTGATGAAAGATGTACGCGGGTGGTGTGGGAGAGGTAACGCGGGAATGTCTGATACGTTTTGCAGGCACCAAATCAACGGAACGGATTTTATCGGCCACCACTTTGATGATACTCGTCCTTTTTGCACACAAAGGATGGGCTACGGTGTGGGTCTATTCAAATAAGTAAACATGCACCTCTTCTTTTTGTTTTGGGTTATTGGTCGGGCTCAAAACTCACTCGTTTGGGCCCATTGTTAAGGAGCGGGTACTCCCTCGTCAGAAGGCTAGGTTCGAGGGACAACAAGCTGGATGGGTCCGTGGTCCGTGGCCGCACGCCAAGGTGCACCTATGTAGGTCTTGGCTCTAAGAACTTGTTTGGCAGCTCGTATAAAGATTGCATATGATTAATTATGCTGACTTGGTTGTTTGGTGCAGTTATGTATTAATCATGCCTAACCATTTGTGTGCGATTCACATCCGCTTAGTTATACTTCTCAAATTAAATGTATAATTCAATACAGTTTGATGTACCAAGTTCTTGTCCGTTATTTTGATGGTCCCCTTGCTCAAGGTGGCCAATTCTATATCAGTTTCAAGTTTGACATCATTCAATTATAATGAAAGTTTGAAGTAACACCTCTTTGTTTGAAAGCCAAGAATGAATTTTTACCTTTATCATGTTAATTGAGAATTCGAGGTTATGCGATGAAAGTGCATGTCACGAAGAATTTGCAACGAGTTTTGGTGAACTTTTGGGTATTAAGATGAATTTTGGGCATCAAAGTCCCCATGATCGCCTTAGTGTCTCAACATCTCGACTGCGTTTGCTGTCAAATGCAAGAGTCGAGCGTTCAGTTCAAGTATGAATGTCCTAAATGTTGAATTTTAAGACTAAAATGTTATGTATATTTTACGAAGTAAATTTAATGAATGAGAAAGGAAAAAATAAAAATGTAAATAAATTGAGATTTGATAATAACACTCTGTTGATAACACACATATTTGGATAACTCTCCATTCAAGTGCTAATAATTATTTTTAATTGCGTTGATGGATAGTTTTTTGAGTTCAAATTGCGATATTCATCATTATTTTTAATTGCATTGAAAATAACACTCACACTTTACATCATAATTTTCAAAAACTCGTAACAAGCTCCAAGCTCCAAATAACAATCTTTTAACTTGAAGATCCAAAATTTTCTTTTATTTACTTTTGAGACAATTTTTTTAATTGGACTTTTGAATTTATTTTATTTTTATATTAAATTTTATTAAATGCTTTTTTTTTATTTTTTTTACTAAACGCTTTCAAAGTATTTTTCATACTCATAACGCTTTTAAAATACAGTTTATTAATGCGCTTTATTTTATTGTCAACAATTCTCGGATCACATAATCCGTTTTTTAATAAAGCACATCTCAAACAACGAAGCAAATGATAAAAACCCATAATTATACAAGCCCTAGAAAGTTTCTAGTAGAAACTGAGGAGCCCCTCCATTACTACTAATAACCTAATTCTAATTGGGATGGGAAACTAATCCAATCCATGGAATTACAAAAAACCCAAACCCAGTTCCTCTTCCCAAACACCAAATAGGAAACATCTTTCCTATCCAGGCAGCTACATATCAGTTTCAATTCCACCTTCCAAAACCCTAAATTGCACATTCACCCCCAAAATCTCACCTCCAATTTCCTAAAACGACATCGTTCTCAAACACTTTCGTAACCCCATACGACCATATCCACAAAATATTCACACCTTAAATTATGTCATAGTCAGGTATACCTTCCTTATCGTATACCAAACCGCATACTATCAATCTCGCTATCACCAACCAATTAAAAACCCCAGAAGGAAGTGACCTTTCTAGTCGGACCCTTTAACGGGTCGGGAAATCGGACCTGCCGGCGACCTGAACCCGAAAGTCACAGGGTCGTAAGCGCACCAGTGGAACCCGACTTCGCTCCCCATCTCGTTCGCCCTCGAACACTCCTCGCATACCGTCGCCCCACTCCGGCGGCCCAGCCCGAGTCCGAGCCCATCGGCTCTTCCCAGGCCCATCTTCATCAAGTACCTCTCATTCTCAATCTGCAGCTCTCTGACCCGATTCTCGTACTCGACCCGACCCGCAAAAGGCATGGCCAATCCGGCGACGTTTTCGATCTCCATGCCGCGCTTTAATAGCATAACATTCTCGAGATGGAGATTCTTGTTGATTGGATTTTGAGCTCCAAGCGACGCCGTGTTACGGTACTCATCTTCTCGGAAGTCCTGGTGGTGGTGGGGGACCTGGTAGTTGTGATTCTTCCGCCGCCGCTCGCGCCTCGACCGCTTGAGCTCCACGAGGAAGAAGCAGTTCTTCTCGCGAGAAATCGCGCTGAAGTTGACCTTGCCGGTGATGGGGATTCGCTGGCGGGTCTCCGGCGAGGAGAGGAAGACGGTGAACTGCCCCGGCAGGATTCCGATCTTTTGACTCAGAGCCGACAGGAACCGCGAGAAATCAAGCTTCGGATAGACGACGAGGTCGCCGATATCGGTCTCGGTCTCGCCGTCGGAGAAGACGACCGGGAACGAGACGCCTCTTTCGGCCTCCATCATCTTTACTATATCCCGTCTCCGGCGAGGTGACGTCAGATTTCCGGTGATAAATTCGTCGGAGTTTTGAAATCGGATGGTAAATAAGGGGACTTTTGGTGGAGGGGGAGAAATGAACAGAGGAAAGGGGGGTTTATATAGAGAGGTGTGGGGGTTTAGGACTGACGTTGTAAATATGGTAAGGCGGTAGTGGTATTTAGGGAATTATGTTTTTGATGTTTTCGTGAGGAGCCAGGTTAGGGGAAGCTCGATCGTATCTGCCAGATCACACATTCTTTATATGTGATATTTGGATGCTTGGGGCCCAAGCAACCGAAAACGGCGGCGTTCCGGTTTGTTTGGCCAGTCTCGGAAATTCATTGTTTTTTTTACGTTGTATTTATTATTTTTTGTTGAGGCAATATATTTGTTTTGTTCTGGTTATTAGGAAAAATGGGGATTTTAAAATTTTTTTTTTCTTGAAAAAACATTACTTTCTCTTACAATATTGTTCTAAATTAGAATCGAAAACAGATATATAAAAATAAAATGAGTCTAAATCGTTATTTTTTAGTTTTATTAAATAAAATCATTGGTTTTTAAGGTAGGAACTTAAATTAAACGCAAAAGCCCCTTGGGCAACTAATACAACAATTATCAAAGTGTAAGGAAAGCCTTACACTACTAGGGATAAAATCAAACCACTACAATGACAATCTGATGAAATAGAGTGTTCTAAAGCGGTAATTTATCATTTACAAAGTTGATCTCCCGACAAACATGAACAAAACTAATACCCTCAAAATCATGGAAAAGTTTATGGATGTCCCCAAGCAGCAAACAAATTTTCCAAGGAATTGAGCAAGCACCATTCACATAACCAATCAAAACCTTCAAGTCCCCTTCTTACAATTTTCTTGTGACCAACCCTAATTGCTTGAGAAAATCCTAGACAGAGCGCTGAAGCTTCGATTAAAAACACGTTTGTATAATGAAACTTTCATTTAAAACAGATCCATCAAAGTTTAATTTAACAAACTCTCGGGGGAGGAGGAAACCAACTAATGATCTCTAGAAAGGTATGAGAGGTTTGACAATGTATGTGGCGGAGAAATGAGCTTGAAATCATCTAGAACTTCGTATCTAGAGAGGAAACCAAGGGGTTTAGCTCCAACAATTAAAGGAGAACCTACTTGAGAATGAATAACGAAACTTTCATTTAAAATAGATTCATCAAAGTTTAATTTAACAAACTCTCGGGGGAGGAGGAAACCAACTAATAATCTTTAGAAAGGTATGAGAGGTTTGACAAATTTATGTGGCAGAGAAATGAGCTTGAAATCATTCCAGAACTTTGTATCCACTATAATTACTTTAGAATAATGTTATTCACATATCTATTTTTACCTCATATACATCTTTATTAATTTTTTACGTTAATCTTCAATTTATTCAATCTAAGGACCGAAAATTGAAAAATGTACGTGAGAAGTTTCTGAAAAATAAGGTGATTTCTTTTCTTGATTCCCAAATTTGCCAACTGACAATAAGCAAATAAAAATAGATTAAAGAGAAGAAAGTAAGGAAAAGAAAATAAAATAAAATGTTTTGCGTCTCTTCTCTTAGTTCAACACGTCACGTCAACCTCCTTCTTCTTTGCTGCCAACCATGATACACGTCATCGTCCTACTGGTCATTGGTCTGTTTGATCAGAGTAGCTTTCTTCTCTCGACCAAATAGCCAAACATATTTTATCAGTTTTAAAAAATTACAACAATTATAAATGCATTGGAAATAAAATCGCCACATATTCCGTTTGCACCCTCTGGAGTGTGTTTCACAGTAAATACATTTGGGTGCCGCAGCCAGTACTATGATGTAGAAGTATTCTTATTTATTTTATTTATAAGTTATTTGCTTCTAGTCACGCTCCCGTAGGCCTCATGGTCTAAAAAAAATTATGATTATCCCATCGTCAAATCTCAAA